ACACACCAAATAAAAAAATAAAAAATAAAAACAACCCAAAAAGAAGAAAAAGAAAAGAAAGGAAAAGAAAAATCATTACAGTGTGTGTCAATCAAGTTTCTAGATATAATATGTAGGTGTTTGAAGCAGAAGTCTTTATCTATCTGTTTCCTTCCTTTCTTTACATGTCGCGATTAGAATTTTCCTTTTCCTAAACTTATATTTGTTTACCATGTATATATTATTTGGGCTTACAGATTCTTTTTTTCTTAATCTGCTTGTGCTGCAACAGGCTGCAATGCAGAAGCTTCCCAATGAGGGCAAACATGATGATCTTTTGTTTGACCATTATAAGAAAAAACAGGATCTTTGGTTTGATTTCATTGCAGATACTGGTGATGGAGGAAATTCATCCTATGCAGTGGCCCGACTGCTGGCTCAGCCTTCTATTCAGGTTAAACTAAATGGTTTCATGGATAGCCTTCCACGTGGAGACTTGCTCCTCATCGGAGGCGATCTTGCGTAAGTTGTTCTTTCATTTGTTTTGCCAAAAGATGTCCTACGTTGATTTGATTCAAACTTATAATCTAGCCAAAAGATATTAGCCGAGTCCTAATACATAGGGAAACTGAAACAATCTATGGAACAAATGGAATTGAATAATTGAACTAGTTATTCAAATTAACAAGATAAACCAAATCATTGAAAGCGATAATTTAGATTTTAGACCTTTACATTTAGATTGATAAGCAGTGTGTTTTTTCTGTGGAATCTGTAGAAGCATCATACCTTCTTTAGGAATTTATAAATATGAATGGGAATTTATTAAAAAATAAACCTTCATTTGTTATAGAGACAAAATTGACCTTAACCGTTCTTTACTTATGAACTTGAGAAAATAGAAGTGACAACTTATTTTAATGAATGCCCGTAAGTTAAGGAGAGATAAAATGTCATAAAAGTCCATTTGGTTACCATGAATCAGAATGTATGAATTCTAATTTGTCAATGTGGTTCAAGCTATTGGTTAGGTTTTAAGGAATTTATGTTTTCTCTATTGAATGAGTCATTTGTAATTCATTCACGCGATGAGTGAATTCAATTCCAATAAATGTTTGTGATTCCCAGTTAATCCAATAATGTCCTTCCTCTCATGCCTTTTCCTTTGATACTTTAGTTGCTTCTTATCTCCCCCCTGATATTTTTGTTCCAATCTCATGTGCACTGTGAAGAGCTACGAAAATGTACCCACAAGATACCAAAGCGTTCAGGTCTTCAAGGTAACTACCCCCTC